GACTTCAGGATTTATCAAATAGGCTCGTCTGCCAATCATTTTGATTAATATATCTATTTATTTGTCAATTTGTCAAAAATCTGTTTAAAAATTCCTAATAGGCCAACAATTTGGCAAAGCCAAGGTGGACATATTGAGATTAGCAAAGAAAACTTTCACATCTGAGAGGCAGCAAATTTATTATATTAATTCATTAAAACTTTTTTCTCAGGAAAGAACGTGACAGAACTGTAAAATTAAATACATCTAACACAATTAATGAGGTACCTTCAGGGACAACCGAATACAACATTGTTATTTCTTAAAACATTCACTTTCTGTGCCCATGCTCATGTCATTGATTGTTTGCTAGTGATTCAAACATGACTTCACCGGGTTGGTAGTATACTCACTTATTTATATTTCGGCTCGGTGTCACCGTGTTACAGCCAGCGTCTGGAAACAGACAACATTAAACGCCTTCAAACGGCACAAATAAGTCACATCGTTTTTTCTAATCCATTTTCTTTCTTTTGGTTTGCTAGGTTAGCTCGCGGTTTAGCTAACTTCCGTTGTTGCCTTTGCCATGCATTTCCTGTTCTGGTTTTCAGAATAAAAGTTCCTTCAAAAAGTATTAATTTGCATATTATTTGAATTAATGTACCACAGTAGAATGTTTATTAATATATATTTATTTATTTATTTATTTAACATCAGTGTAATTGCATTTTAATGTGGTTTTATTTATGTGCAATAAAAATAAAAGATAGCAGAAAACTATTTTAAACATAGGACACAAATGAAAAGAATAGTGTTACAACATACTGATGAACAAGTAGGCTATATAATGAAAAGATATCCTTAGGTTGTAAATATAAGGCATATATAGGCTACTATTAAAGGACATGTTTTTATAACCTTGACTATTGTAGTGACTGACCATTTCTTCACAAGATGTGGCCTGATCACATAATATGTGCTCACATAGTCTATAACCCACCCACTTCCAAGATATTTAAATTGTAAAGTCATTTTGTAAACCCCCTGTAACTGAAGTAGTTGTACAGTGAGTAGGTTGAGCCACTTTCCAGTTTTTCCTTGCTGACCCACTCAATGTAGGCTCAACTAATTTTGAAAGAATGACTGCAGGCCAATCAGGCATCATGGTTATTTTAGACACTGCATGGTTGGCAGAGCTGTTCAGGTCTGCACCAGAGTTCTGGGGGTCACAACAGTGGATGCATCTTACTGATTAACCGAGCTGATTATTGAATTTACATTTCATTTCTTATTCATAATTAAAGACAAGTAAGAAGGAGGATGGACACAAGCAACAAGGAAGTAAGTACAGTTGTTTAATGCTTAAAAACAGACTCTTGGGACCATGTTGGAAATAAGTGTTGTAGTAGTTTAATGCTTAAAAATAGGATCTTGGGACCATATTGAAAATAAGTGTTTTTCACTTTAACATGTTATCCCTTGGATTTTACTCTGACTATTGATTCATAAATAAAACTTTTAAAAAGTTATTGTAGTAGGCTACATAAAAGGACACATTTTGGCTAGTGATTTTTCCTAACTGTGTTTCTTACTGAAGTGGAATAGTCTAAACCTTATGAGAGCTTTAAGAGTTAGATAATAAAAGAGTTTTATTTGTTTAGCAGAACAGATGGCAGCCTGGTCTGCCATGCCTCTAGCTATTTTTAACATCCTCAAGAGTTTCTGTTACCAACATATCACACTCACTAAGCTGGTGTACATGTGTTTATAATACCAAAGTTATTTTTTATCAACTATTATGAGTGAATATGCTTAGTAATTTTTAATAATGTAGCCATAAAGCTTCAGTCTACTAACAAACAACTAAACATCAGAAAAGCATCAGAAAAAATGTCATTTTGCCCTGATCGTCTTTGCAGCTTTTTATTTTCATTTTCTTTGATAGTTTTGTATCACTTTCTTTTGTAGATGGTAAAAAAAGAAGAAGATAATGCTCACACTCTAAACATAGATATGACAGCTGCTACTGATGAGGAGTCATGGTCACCCTCCACACTCACTCTCCAAGGTATGTCATGCATCATCCGACAACCGTGCAGCCTAAATACTAAACATTTATACTTTGCTTTAAATTTTAATAAAAACATGTTTAAATGACTATTACAATTAGAAATAAATTCAGAGACTCATAATTAAGGTATAACAAAATAATTGATGTTCAAACATCCACTTGCAAATTTTTGGAGCTTTCAACTGCTCCTGACAGTGTTACTGATGTGAAGCTGAATGTCCTATAAAGCTAGTAGACTCTTGAGCTTGTATTATTTTTATATATTATATATTATTACCAAAGGTCTAGAATAATCTATATTTAAAGTAATTATTTAGTGGTGAAATAATATCACAGATGTCCTTAGACATAATGTATGTTGTTATGAACTATACAGATTATACAATTTAAATTTTTTTTTCCAGAATACACACACACACAAAATTACACATACAAACCAAATAAAATAATTTACCCATATTTTGATAAGGATTGATGTGTTTATGCAAATGCATTTTAAATAACACATAGATTTATTTGACTCATCAAGAACCACTGTAAATCTTGTTTAATTATTCTGACTCTGCACAGCGGTTTCATCTATTGTTATACTTGTTTGATGCTGTTCTTTCTCCACACTAGGTCAGTCTGCCAGTGCCGTAGAGAGCAGAGAACACAGCTCTAGAGACAAACCTAGCCCTGTCACAGATAAGGAAAATGCTATTAAGCCATCACTCCAGATAACCTTTAGCACATTTACTGTCAAGAATGGTGAAGAGCTAAAAGTCGAGATCCCAGTGGCTGGGCACCCAGCACCAAAGATTGAATGGAAAAAAGATGGTCAGGGAGTTAAAGAGACATCAAGGCTGGAGGTTTCAACTACACCATCATTAACAGTTCTTCATATCAGACATGCTGCCAGAGAGCACTATGGTCAATACTCAGTCACAGCAAGCAACAGTGCTGGAAAATATGCAGGAGAAATCACTGTGGTTGTGCTTGAAAAGCCGGATCCACCCAGAGGGCCTGTGAGAGTTGATGAAGTCAGTTCTGATTATGTAACCATCTCCTGGGAACCACCTGAATACACAGGAGGCTGCCAGCTAGACAACTACATAGTGGAGAAACGTGAAAATACAAGTACAGAGTGGCAGACTGTATCAGCAACAACAGTAAGAACCACAATCAAAGTGACCAAGCTGAAGACAGGTAGTGAATACCAATTCAGAGTGTTTGCAGAAAATAAGTATGGAAAGAGTTCTGCGATCACCTCTCCTATCGTAACTGCACAATATCCTTTTAGTGTGCCTGCTGCTCCTGGCACCCCCTTTGTGTCTACAGTGACAAGGTACAGCATGATTGTTGAATGGGAGCCCCCAGCCAAAGATGGAGGCAGTCCCATCATCGGTTATCACCTTGAACGCAAAGAGAAGAACAGCATTTTATGGACCAAACTGAACAAGCTTGTGATACCTGATGTTCGCTTCAAAACAAGTGGATTGGAGGAAAGCATTCAGTATGAATTCAGAGTCTTTGCAGAGAATATTGCTGGTCTCAGCCCACCTAGCAAGATATCTGAATGTTATGTGGCAAGAGACCCCTGTGATCCACCTGGTAAACCTGAAGCTGTTGTTATTACTAGAGATACGATCACACTTCAGTGGGCAAAACCCAGGTATGATGGTGGAAGCACTATTACAGGCTATGTTGTTGAAAAAAAAGAGCTCCCAGATGGCAGATGGATGAAGGCAAACTTCACCAATGTTATTGAGAATCAGTTCACAGTCACAGGTCTGACAGGAGGTCAAAGTTATGAGTTTAGAGTAACTGCCAAGAACAGTGCTGGTGTTTGGAGTACACCATCAGAATGTGTAACCATCATTGCTCAGGATGTTATTGAAGGACCCACAGTATGCATTGATCCAAAGTTCAAGAGTACTACTGTCATTCAGGCAGGGGAGACATTTGTTATTAATGCTAATTACTTTGGGAAGCCTCTTCCTGAAGTATTCTGGCTGAAGGATGGAAAAGAAATTGACAAAGCTACACCAAGAATGGAAATCAAAAACACCCTAACTCACACATCTCTGACCGTCAGGGACTGTACTCGAGTGGATGGGGGACGCTTTGTCTTGAGCCTCAGTAACATTGGTGGAACTACATCTGTCCCAGTTAATGTGAAGGTGCTGGATAGACCTGGTCCTCCTGATGGACGTTTGAATGTGAAAGCTGTAAGTGCAGAGAAGTGCAATCTTCACTGGAACCCACCTTTAAATGATGGTGGTGCCAGTGTTTCCCACTACATCATTGAAAAAAGAGAGACCAATCGTGTGACATGGACGCAGGTTGAACTTCATGTTGAAGCCGTCAGTTACAAAGTGACAAAACTGGTGCCTGGTAAAGACTATATATTCAGAGTTGCTGCCGTGAATAAATTTGGTGTTGGTGAGTTTCTGGAATCAGACCCCTTCATTGCACAAAACCCTTTTACGACACCTAGTGCGCCTTCTACTCCTACAGCCAGTGCTGTGACTGGTGACTCTATACTACTAACATGGGAAAAGCCAGAGACTGATGGAGGTTCAGAGATTGATGGCTACATTGTAGAAAAACGTGACAAAGAGGGTGTCAGATGGACTAGATGCAATAAGAGGAGACTAAATGATCTGCGTTTCCGATGTACAGGGCTCACCATGGGACATTACTATCAGTTTAGAGTACTGGCAGAAAATGCTGCTGGTGTGGGTGCACCCAGTGAGCCAAGTGAGTATATAAAAGTCTGTGAAGCAATTTATCCACCCGGTCCCCCTACTAACCCGAGAGTGACAGACTATTCCAGCAAAACTGTGTCTCTGACCTGGACAAAGCCTATCTATGATGGTGGATCAGCCATCAGTGGTTTTGTAGTTAAGATGAAAAAAGTTGCAGAAAATGAGTGGATCACATGTACACCAAGCACAGGTGTAGAAGACACAAGCTACACTGTGAAGAGACTGACAGAAAATGCAGAGTACAATTTTCGTATATGTGCGATGAATGTTGCTGGAGCTGGAGAGTATGTGGAGCTACCTGGGTCTGTCAAAGCAGCTGAAAAACTGGAGGCACCTGAGATTGAGTTAGACATAGCCTTGAGGAAGATTGTAAATGTTCGAGCTTGTTCCACTTTACATCTTTTGGTCACCATCAGAGGAAGGCCAGAGCCTGAGGTTAAATGGTCAAAGGAAGGTGGAACTCTCAGTGAGCGTGCTCAAATTGAGGCAACAAGCTCCTACACAGTGTTACTGATTGAGAATGTCAATAGAAATGACACAGGAAAGTATGTGTTGACTGCTGAGAACTGCAGTGGCATTAAATCAGCATTTATCAATGTCAGAGTACTGGATTCTCCTAGTGCACCAACAAACCTAGAGGTAAAGGATGTGAAGAAAGACTCTGTGTCCATCTCCTGGGAGGCCCCTCTCATTGATGGAGGAGCAAAGATTTCACATTATGTTGTAGAGAAGAGAGAGGAGGCTAGAAAGGCATTTGCAAGTGTCTGTAGCAACTGTGTGAGAAACTCATACAAGATTGACAATCTTCAGGAAGGATGCTTTTATTATTTCCGTGTCCTGGCTGTGAATGAGTTTGGGGTTGGTCTGCCAGCGGAAACCACTGAGGCTGTTAAAGTGTCTGAGGCTCCTCTGCCTCTTGGCAAACTCACACTCAGTGATGTTACTTGTAGTAGTGTGAAACTTTCTTGGGAGAAGCCTGATCATGATGGAGGAAGCAAAATCACATGTTATGTTGTAGAAATGCAAGTTAAGGGAGATGATACTTGGACAATATGTTCAAAGAGTAAAGCACTGGAAGCAACTATTAATGGGCTGACAAAAGGAAAGGAGTATTTCTTTAGAGTGAGTGCTGTGAATGAAAAGGGGAAGAGCTGTTACCGTAAAGGATACTACCTCTGATCCCATTATCGATTTGCTGTCCAACACATTCAGTGTGAAGGCAGGCAATGATTTAAAGATTGATGTCCCATTTAAAGGTGTACCAGCACCGACAGTAACCTGGAAAAAGGATGGGAACATCCTGAAAGAGACAAGCAGGGTAAATGTGAACATATTTGACACATCATCCCAGCTCGTTATCAAGGATGCAACCAGGACAGATGTTGGTGTCTATGAGGTGACTCTTACCAACTCTGCTGGAACCACAGCTGCTGAAATCTTTGTTAATGTTTTTGAAAGACCTGGACCACCAACTGACCTTAGTGTGGATGAAGTGAGTGCTGACTTTGTTTCTTTGTCATGGCAGCCACCACAATATACTGGTGGATGTGAAATCAGTAACTATGTTGTGGAGAAGAGAGATACAGGGAGCACAATATGGCAAACTGTGTCAGCTACAGTTGCCAGAACATCAATCAAAATTTCCCGTCTGACACAGGGTATTGAATATCAGTTTCATGTTGCTGCAGAGAACCGCTATGGCAGGAGCCACTATGTTGAATCTGAACCAGTTGTTGCTCAGTTTCCTTTCAAGCCCCCTGATGCACCAACCAACCTCCATGTTGTGCAGGCCTCAAAGTCTGCAATGGTCATTGCTTGGAGCAAACCTGACAGTGATGGTGGTAGCCCTATTATTGGATATTATCTTGAATGCAAAGATCAAAGCAGTATTCTGTGGTCTAAGTTAAACAAAAGCCTGGTGACTGAGACCAAGTTCAAGGTAACAAGTGTTGAAGAGGGTCTAGTATATGAGTTCCGGGTCTGTGCTGAGAATATGGCAGGTGTTGGACCCTGCAGTAATGCATCTGAGCCTGTAGTGGCAAGAGACCAGTGCGATCCTCCATGCAACCTCACAGTCACCAATATAACTAACAGCTCAGTTTCCCTCTCATGGAACAAACCAGAATATGATGGTGGAGCTAAAATAACCGGTTACATTGTTGAGCGTAAGGAGCTGCCAGATAGTTGCTGGCTTAAGTGTAACTTCACCACCCTACTGGACACCTTCTTTGAAGTGACTGGCCTCACAGAGGGTGAGCAGTATGATTTTCGTGTTACTGCAAAGAATTCAGCTGAGCTTTTCAGTGCACCCTCTGAAGCCACAGGACCCATCACTGTACAGCATGATGTGGAGCCACCTAGAATTATCTTAGAGGACAAATTTAGACAGGTGGTGGTTGTCAGAGCAAGAGACCAACTAAGAATAGATGCTGACATCTCTGGCCGCCCCAACCCCACAGTGTTTTGGCTGAAGAATGGTAGACATATTGGCACCAAGGGAAGGATTGAGCTAACTGCCACAAAGACGCATACCTCTCTACTTATCAGAGAAAGTGTCAGGAAAGACTCTGGACTGTATACTCTGACCCTACAGAATACAGGCGGTACCATATCTAAAGTTGTTACCTGCAAGGTTCTGGATAGGCCGGGCCCACCTGCTGGACCTCTGGAAGTGTCTGGACTCTCAGCAGAGAAATGCACCCTGTCATGGGGTCCCCCTCATGAGACCGGCAGTGCTGAGATCATGCACTACATTGTTGAGAAGTGTGAAACCAGCCGTGTAGCCTGGACCCTTGTGTACAGTGACATGATGGCAACTACTTGTAAGATAACCAAGCTTCTCAAAGGAAATGAATACCTGTTCAGAGTGAGGGCAGTTAATAAATATGGGGAGGGTGAGAATTTGGAAAGTGAGCCCATTACAGCCATGGATCCCTTTACTATCCCATCTCCTCCGACTGATGTTGAGGTCACAAGTGCAACCAATGAGGCTATGACTATCTGTTGGAAGAGACCTGCCTCTGATGGTGGTTGCCGCATCAGTGGTTACATCACTGAGAAGAGGGAGAAGCATGGCATTCGCTGGGTAAGAGTCAATAAAAAGCCAGTCTATGACCTACGAGTCAAAGCTTCTGGCCTGCAAAAGGGATGTGAATATGAGTTCAGGGTCTTTGCTGAAAATGCTGCTGGGCTAAGTGAACCCAGTCTCCCATGCCCCCTCACCTTGGCGGAGGATCCAAAATTTCTACCATCCCCTCCAGCAAAGCCCACCATAGTTGATTCGACCAGGTCCTCAATCACCCTATCATGGAACAAGCCATTGTTTGATGGTGGAGCAGCAATTACAGGGTACAAAGTTGAATTCAGAAAGTCAACAGAAGAAGACTGGGCTGTTGGTGTTTATAACACAGAAAAAACAACATTTACAGTGACTGGACTCACATCGGGGGCAGAATATATTTTTATTGTCAGATCCATAAATAAGATTGGGATCAGCGAACCTAGTCCTGAAACAAATCCTGAAGTGGCCATGGATAGAGAGGAGGAGCCCAGGTTTGATATTGGCATAGAGACGAGGAAGACCCTACTTGTTAAAGTTGGCAGCTCCTTCACTTTGTCTGTGCCTTTTACAGGCAAACCTGTTCCCATTGTGACATGGGAAAAAGCAGATGTAGATCTGAGAGTCAGAGGACTGATCAACACTACCAGTTCAGTCACATCTATCACAGTGGAACAGGCAACACGTGACGACTCTGGAAAATACATAGTCAAACTGCAAAATGTTGCTGGATGTGCTTCTTTGATGCTGAACGTGAGGGTTTTGGACTCACCTGGTCCGCCAATGCACATAGCAGTTAAAGATGTGACCAAGAACTCAGCCACTGTCACATGGGACATGCCTGAGAATGAAGGAGGAGCCCCAGTGAAGCACTACCTTATAGACATATGGGACATTAGTCGAAAGGGGTGGACAAGACTCACAGACAAGTGCCGCCGCCTGTCCTATAAGGTGTCTGACCTGGAGGAAGGAGGAATCTACTTCTTCAGAGTTACTGGGGAAAATGAGTACGGTGTTGGCGTTCCAGCTGAAACCATAGAGGGAACAAAAATGACAGGTACATTCTAAATAAAATAAACACATCATTAGGGTTTTTGTATATGGTAGGAATAAAAACCTCATTACTATGATGTGAGTAGTGCCCAGCAGGGTGTGAAAGATTTAGCAAATGAAAACATTTATATTTATTTCATTGCACATCATTCTATTTGCTGGATTAACAGTAATTCTGTTTTTATTTTTCTATTTCAGATGCAACAGACTGGGAAACAAATCTAGGAGCTTAGCTTGCCTTCTACCCAGGGCTGAGTTAACCATCCCTGATCTCCCTGTCAAGGCCCTCAATTATTTAGCATCTTCAGTGCATTCACTTTGGGTTTGAACAGATGGTTAAGATATAAATATTAGTGGATTGTGTTCAATTCCCAAAATATTTTTATTTTAGATTTTAATAAATTACCAAAAGCTACAGTTTTTTGTTTTATTATTGTTTTTAAAATGTGTATACTCGTAAACTGAATTAATGACATATTTTATTTATAGATGAAAAATGCATTGCTACCCTGACTTACTTTGTTTCCTCTGCAACCAGTAAAAAGATCCTACAATAAAGTGAAGATGATGAGAAAAGTTATTACTTTGCATTTGTTATGGGGAAAGATATACTATTAACACTAGATGGCATGAAAACACTCCAAAAAAATACAAACAAGACATGAGCAACTGCTGTTTGTTGTTAACCTACATTAAAATAAAGATGATTTCAGAAGTTGTTAGTTTGCTTTGGACTTTTTGCAAGAAATATTCTCAAAGAATAGAAACAGGATAACTACATAAATTTAAACAAAACAAACATTATACAAACAAACAACAGAAAAGCACAGATACATTTATTTATTTTATTGTTATTTATTATGCTGTATTGTATTGCTGTTTCCTCCCCTTTTCTCATTCCTTGTCACTTTTTAACTGTAATTCTAAAATGAAGGCCCCGAAAATAATAAAGTATTTCATATGTGATACTCTGATGAGCACACTGATAACAAAAAAAAACCAACTCCAAAGGAGTCAGGCCTTTTTTTTTCTTGTGAACTTTGTCAAAATAAAGACACCCTAGCATGAGAATGCTATAGTCACACAGGTTAGTACTATTTGCAGTGGTGGAATAAATCTTTATTTATGTAAAATACAGACACTACAATGTAAAAGTATTATCAACAAAAAGTACTTAAAGTTGAAAGTATTCATTTTGCATTTTGATATTATTGTAAAAAGCATTTCTAGTACTATTGTAACTCTATGAGGTAGAGCTACTGCAATTTAAACTACTTTATAAAAACTTTTTAGACTAGTTTTGTCCAGTTGTTCCCACCCTAGGGGTCAGGCCCCTTCAAAGGGTCACAGAATAAATCTGAGGTATCCCAAGCTGATTAATGTGAGAAGAAAAACAGAGTTCTGATACATAAAATTAGATTCACTGTAAAGTCCTTTCTTTACTGTTGCCACAAAATATTTAAACAATTCAATGTCCTCTGCAGTTTAGCCACCTAAGGTTGAGATTAGACAAGTAAATGTAGCCTCCTTAGTTACTTTACAGCACTGCTAACTATACTGTATGTCAAATGCATTTGACATATGAACAAATGGCTGCTCCTGTGATAAACTGGCGACCTGTCCAAGGTGTACCCCGCCTGTCGCCCAATGTCAGCTGGGATTTGCCCCAGCCCCCCACGACCCTTATTGGGATAAACGGTATAGATAATGGATGGATGGTGACATTATGACGGGATTGCAATTGTTTACAAGTACGTCACTATGGAAACCGTTACGTAGCAGGAAAACCCAGAAACCGGAAGTAAGCGATGCAGAACCAGTAGTCTAGTAGTTAGTTGTGTAATTGTTTACAAGAAAAATTACTTCTTTCAGTATGGGAACTACGGCAAGTAAACTCGGGAAGGATTTGCTGTCAGAATACCAAGTAAGTGCCCAATGTAAGGTCTCGGAATGCAGAAATTAAGTAGTTATAGAGGTTAACTGAGTGGTTAAAGTTGAGTGCGCGTTTATACCCCGTAGTAACCACGGATAACCCAGCAGTAGTTATGTTAGCCTAACACTGTAAGACAAAACAACCCTGTTAGAGCCTTGTTATCAGACAGATTCTGTTTCTGGCGGTCTGTAGGCGTAATGTTCCAAGTAAACTAAACATAACGTGCACGAATGGCTCCTGTACTTACTTCAACTTGTCATCACGCTAATTTTGTTGCGGATGTCAAAAAATCTACTACTTCCCGTTGATGTTTAACTATTCCCATTTTAATTTTACTTTTAGGAACTGACATTCTTGACAAAACAAGAAATTCTTTGGTAAGTGATCATCTGCATGTCACATTACAATCATGTAACCATGTAATCAGTGTAGCACTGCTTATGTCGATGTCATTAAGTTGTGATTTCTGATTTTTTTTTAAGTGCTCACAAGAGATTCACTGAACTGCTCACTAAAGATGAGAAGGACCTTCCAAATGCCAGAGTACCAATGGAAAGGATCCTTACTCTACCTGAACTCAAGGTATAATCGTATTTAAGTGTAAAGCAGAGGGTGGACTGCTTAAGGCTTACTGGTGATTTTAATCCAATCTCATAACTAGGGTCATCCTGTGTTTTCTGTGTTCTGGAGGAAGGGCTTTGAGTACCGATAAATGGTACTGACACATTGTACTTGTTCCTGTCCTAGTCCAACCCATTCAGGGAACGAATCTGCCATGTATTCTCAACATCTGAAGATAAAGATGGAAGCCTCACATTTGAGGACTTTCTGGATCTTCTAAGTGCCTTCAGTGACTCTGCTACTCTGGAAATCAAATCCCACTATGCCTTCCGTATATTTGGTAAATAAGTTGATAAAAAATTCAACTGCATCAGTAACATGCAAGGTTGCCAGTGTGTAACAAGCACATTGATATTTTCAGATTTTGATGATGATGGAACCCTTGATCGTGGTGATCTGGAGAAGCTGGTTAACTGTCTGACCGGGGAGACAGATGACACGAGACTAACACCTGAGGAAATGAGACAGCTCATCAGCAATGTGAGTGCACTGAGGCTTCTTCTCTTTGAAGATGGAGGCAGATGTGATGGTTAAAGCTGCCACTGCCTGTAGTTTGGTATAGTGATGTAAGACTAGGTCCAACAGTTGTGTCCTTTGCATGTCTTTTTAGATTCTTGAAGAATCAGACATCGATAAAGATGGAACCGTGAACCTCTCAGAGTTTCAGCACGTCATTTCAAGATCACCAGATTTTGTCAGGTAATTCAAAATCAGACTATTGTTATCATCAATATGCATTTTACTCAAAACGGTTTTGCTCACCATATTTTCTGCCATTTCATTTCTCCACAGTTCTTTCAAGATAGTGCTGTGAAGATGTCTGACAGGCAGTGGAAATGCATCACCCTTTAACTCTCAACTATGGTTTTTAATTTTTCATTTTGATTTGTGCTTAAATTATAGTTACCTGTGGATTTTCGTGCCTTAAACATTCTCTGTATTGTTTGTTAAATATAAAACCCATGTTTTTTAAATGATCTTTTAAGAAAACTAAAAAGTAGTCAAGTTTTTTTTAATACAGAAATGCAAACAAAGAAACTGCATCTATCACATAATATATTTAACCCAGTGCCTCCCATTTATTTGACATTATAATTTGCACTTCCTGGTATGCTGTTTGAAGTCCACTGTCCATGTTTATCAGGGGGAATTTCCACAGTATTTTAAGAGCAAGCTACTTCCTCCTTGGCAACAGCAGCAAAGGTGTTCCATGCCCCACACACTACATCGACCACACACATCTGCTGCTCTTTGAAGAACTCCACACGCTGGGGTTCATCTAAACTGATTAAAGTCTGGTGTCCAAGCTGGCCATATTCACCTGAAATGGCAACAGAAGGAAAGATGAACAAGGGAAGATCAAAATATACTGATCACATGTTTTTACATTACATAATTTTATTCGCACTGCTATGAGGAGTTTGGGGAGTATTTTATTCAGATTTAGCGGATGAACCATGTACATTTAGCTTCAAATTCAAACATACCCCAGCCCCAAGTGTAGAGTTCCCCTGTGGCTGAAATGAAAAAATATGAGATAAAGATGACCATGATGCTGACTAGTCAAGAAATGTGCATCAATATAATACACCCACTGCCAAGAGAGACTTCTCACTTGTTACTGCAGCTGTATGCCGGGAGCCACAGCTGATTGTCCTGATTTCACATGATGGAGTGACATCCAGGAGAGCCGGGAAGGCCTGGATCGATATGAACACCTCGTGTTTCTCTCCATCTTGTGGCTTTTCACTGGGAGATGAGGCGGTATCTTGGCACAATGCTTCTGTTAAGTAGAGTACTGTTCCAGCACTTACCACTTAAGTCACTAATACTACAAGCAGCACACTTGGCAACATACTATTTATGAAATAATATTACAGTTAAATTACAGTTAGTTATCATTAGTGAAGTTTTTCAGATACCAGCTGTAGCTCACCCAGTGCAGTGGAGCTTGATGGTATTAGTTTGTGGTGCTAAAAGTGCCAAAATAGATTTGTTAAAGTCGACTCGTTTCCTTTCAGATAAAATTAGATTCACTATTAGAAATTATTTCACTATTAGATCTGAATTCACAGATCTAATAGTGAACAGTTTTTCTTGTTCAGAGTTAATGCCATGGTAAACATCCTGGTGAATGTGAAAATGTTCATATAGAAACATGGCAAATTGTAAGTAATAGGGATATGACACAAAAAAAACAATGCAGTTGATTGCAGCACATTGAGGTGAGGTACATCTCAGCATTTTCCACAAAAAAAAAAAACAAGCATTTGGACTGAGAGAAAGCACTACAAGGAGCATATTTGTACTGTATTTCTCAAACTGTGTGCATTTGCTCAAGAAACAGACAAACCTGCTTGTTTGCTACTTTGCTGCTGCTGCTGTTGTGCTGTCCTCAGACCTCGAGATGGAAGTCCGAGCTGGCCACTTTCATTCCAGCCCCACACGTAAAGGTCACCCCCATCTGTGGAGAAAAGGTCACTGGAGGATGCTTTTTCCTCAAGCTAAATGTATAATCCTTTTCACTGCTGACATCTTACCACTAATGCAGACAGAGTGCCAGCCTCCTGTGGCTACACAGCTCATGGGCATCCCCCAGAGTGCCTCCACTACCCTGGGCTCCTCCTCAGAGGTGAGGCCACCATGCCCCAGCTGACCATGGCTGTCAAATAGACATGTACACACACAAACGAAAAAAAAAAAAAATCAAGATATGCATGAGGTTGTTAATACTCAAATTCCCTGCAATGACAGATATGGGAGTATTAGATCTACCTGCCCAACCCCCAGGTGTACACAGCTCCAGACACACTGAGGAGTATGGCGTGCTTTGCACCCAGTGCCAGACTCTTGGCCGTCAGGTGTGGTGACAAGGGGCGGTAGAAGGGAGGTTTGGGGGCTATGTAACCCCCAGTGACCAATGGGAGATTTAGAGGGTATCCTGGAAAGCAGCAAGAGGTGTAGCCTACTGTTCAGCCAGTTATAACAACCAACGTCTAGCAGCTGTCCAAGGATATCAGGATAATATAGTATACTTTACCAGAGCGCTCCAAATGACTTTGTATCTCCATGCTCCATGATGGAGTCTTTTCCTCCTCCTGCAGATTCCAACATTCTATCCTATCTAGGAAAACAAGGGTCAAGTATGATTCACTGATGTGAGCATCTTTACAACCACGACTGTCTTCCACAGAAATACCGCCCGCCTCGAAACCTGTCAGGCTCACACGGCTGTCACCAGAGAGAGAGAGAGAGAGAGCAAAATAATACACGAGGTAATACTTAAGTTATGGCTATAACGAGTGTAAAATTATAAATGGCTTCTATTTAAGTCCAACTTGCAGAGCGTTAATGTTGCTATCTCTCTAACACACTCACCATCCAAATGCAAAGATGCTCTTCGACTCCAACTTGCGCTGATTCGACTCGTCTTCAAGCAGCAGCCACTTCTTTCCACATAACTTCTGAGCTCTTTTGGATGAAACACTTTCACTTCCTTGGAGGCGTCGCTATCTTCTTCTTTGGTTAAATTTTCAGGGACGCATATCTGTCCAAATGCGTTGAAGCCAAATCCGAACCACCGCATTGATAACACTTAACCTCTGTGGAGTTAACGAGGAAAGGAAACGCTGCAGGACCTTGCAACGCAGTTGTCCGCAAAGTTTGTACACTCGCCAATGTGGCATTGGCGTGTGCTGCGCATGCGCACCCGCAATGCTGCAAAATGACCCGACTCGATTTTGGAAAAGGGTGAAGTCAGCAGAAAAGGTGACAGTAGCCTATAGTTAAAGCACAGAAATGTATTTATTTAGCCTGTTTTTCAAAGTTACACTGAACAATCGTACAATTAAAGCACTGGGAATGTAGTGAGGTGCAAAGTGTAAACACTGCACACAGTTAAAATATATGGATGTAATGTTTTCATTTTTATGGGTCATAATAGGCCAACAATCAGAAAAAATAATAAAGCAGCGTGAACAATAGTAAAAGGCAATGTATATTTTGGGAATAACAAATAAAATTAGATGATTACTGGATGTGCATGAATGAATATACTCAAGGGAAAAGTCATGTGAAGCAGCAGTCCAAGTTCATATGTGATAAAAGAACTGCTTGTTTTCATTTAATACTTTTGTTAAATAAATTCCCTATTGCTTTTAACAGTTTTTAGTTAAGACGTGAACATTTTAGGTCATTCAGACCTAAACTGATTTCCTGCTACTGTGAAATCACTTCCATGGTCCCACATAATACCCAATGCACTTTAAACATTGCTATGTGACATATCCACACACTTTTCCTTTCCTTCCCTGCTCCTGACGATGCCATACTCCACGGCCTTGTCCAGACAGTTTTGAGCTATCTTAGAGACTTGATCTGGTGAGCCCTCTCCTCCCTTTGCCAGAACAGACAGAATCTCCAGAGCTTCACTTTCCATGAGAGTTTCAGCCAGGCTCTTCTCTGCCTGCATCATGTTCTGAATGATGACCACTCCACGGTGACGAAGGTCAGATATTTCACTAAGCAGCAGCGCCTGCATGATCTCTAGCCAGTGGGTCGTCTGGGAAAAGAGAATAACACTGCATCATGTGATCCAAGACAGACTAAAGCATTACTGTACTAGAGATGTGCGGACAGTCAGTATCCTGCTGCAGTAGTGTGCTTACTGTTCCAGGGATGCGAGCGCAGATCTCAGGCTGCTCAGCTGTTAGCATGGCCAGAGTTCCTGCAGCTGCTTTTCGCAGCCTCTCATCCTCCTCTCCACTGTAGAGCACCAGCAGCTTCAGGCGATCATTCCCTGTTGCCAGGTACAGCTTCTGAACCTAAAGACAACCAGACAGCCACTGCACTTACTTTAGCTTTTCTACAATATTTGTCATAGAATCTGTGATTAATAATATGCATCTTACCTCTGTGCTTAAAACCAAATTACACATGCACTCTGTGGCTGATGCTCGAACAAGATCATGCTCCTCAAACATGTAGCCTTCAATTTTTGGTAGCGCCTTCTCCTTTATGATCTTTTGTCTGTGACACAATGCACTTTATCAACACAAGCAGGTGCTTCTTAGCACTAGTCAGGTCTTGCATAGTTTCAAACCTTAAAAATGTAATTACCTGGTCTATACATTGAAATAAGAAGCATTCAGCATCAGGGACTTGAATGACTTTCATCTGGGCTTGCAGTTTGCTAGTTAAGACATAAATGGACTTGGACCTCTCTTAAAGGAGCTGAGACTTGATTTGCATTTGCCCCAGGACTCTTATAATCAGCTCTGGTAAGATTTTTTTTCTCTCGCTCTTATAGCATTTCAATTTCTGAGGCAAACTAGGATCTTGTGTGTCTAGCAATTAAAATAACACAAATCTGCAAAACGGTGCACCTGTCTTTAAGCAAATTAGTTTTGCTAAAGAGTAGAAAAGAAAAAAAAAATCAACATTCAAGTTTAGATTTGCAAACCAGTTCAAATATTTCTGTTATGTCTTTTGTACTTGTATTCTTAGGAGAGATGCCCCCCTAGTGGCCAACCTGAGTCTATCACTGATACCGGCCAGATTGGTGAGAGCCATGAGCGCCTCGAAGTTCTGTAGCAGGGTGCACTCAAGACTAAGAAGACTGACAAGTGGGCGCACCACCTCATAGATCTAAAACATAAAATAGACAAGTTTAAAGAAGAAAGAATTTTCATATATTTTTAACTGGCTTATTGCCAATTTTTCTCACCCTTTCGCCTGGAAAAGCAATCTCTGGGTTAGAAGTGATAGTTATCTTTGCCAGGGCTTGTGCTGCTTTGGTTTTTCCAACATCCGTGTTGTCAGAGGCCAGTGGGATCAGAGCCTGTGGAGGAAAAACATTAAACATAAATCATGTAAACCCTAAAGCAAGGTGGTCAGCTCACTGAGCAGGCTAAGTATATTTATCAAGGTGCGTTACCTTCCCTCCACCCTGTGCCACGACTGTGCCTCTGTCTTCCTGTCGCTCCACCAAAGCCAAGAACACCCTATCGAAATAAATGGCATTAACGGAAAATCTACCGAGAGAACAGTGAGTGAAAAAAGATTTACTGCCATTTTCCTACCTGGCGATGCATTCTCTGCAAGCCTCAGTGAGGGCTGGACTCTCCTGTTTGACCATACACACCAACGCAGACACCACACCAGCTTCCAGCAGCTTCATCAGCCTTTTCTCTACATAGGAAGGCGCATCCTGACACACGACAAGGCAGATGGGTTCATATAAAACAGAAAAATGCATATTTATGAAAAACCAAAGAAACAGGATGATGTTAATAGTAAAGCACCTGTTCACTATTAAAGGAATATTGTGTGATGTTATCTCTACATGAAAAACAACCAGAAAATATAATGCCTCTGGCTGCAGTTATTGCTAGCAAGGACACATAAAAACATAAGGATTCACATGGTACCTTAGGGTGCTCCTCAGGCACATGCTGCTTCGCATACTTGGCCAGTTCCACCAGCTGAGGGTCTGGCTTCTCCACTTCGTAGCTGTTGGTACAGTTCACCAATGTGGAGCCCACAGCAAAGAGCACCGTCTTATCCTCAGACTGCAGGAATAAAAAACAAGGTTGTCAGTGCTATCCCAGTCAACACAAGTATAAAACATCTTTTCTGTGGACAGTCACAGTTGCGTTTTCAAATTACCTACATAAAAATAAATGTCACAATAATAAGACCCTTTTCTAATAGGAATGTGACTTTATAATTACCATATATTGTCCATATATCACAAGTTTTAAAACAAATCCTAACATTACAACCATCAGTCTAACCTTTGCGAGTTCAAACATGGCCAGGAGAGAGTTCTTATCTTCCACTAAGTCCTCCTTCACATCAGCATCAAAGGTGAGGTAGGCGAGACCTTCCACAGACCACCGGCGGGAGGTTGGGGGCAGAGACTCATTACACAGCCACCTAACAGAGAAGGAGATACAGCTTGCTTCTTAGTTCAAATCCAAGAATCCACTCCTCACCTGTTTTGCTATGCAACAGTATGAACCTCCATGACACAATTCCCTTTAATCTATACCCTGGTTTAAGATTCAGCACTGTCAAACATACTTCCTGCATTGCTTGGCAAGCTTCAGGGTGGATCCCTCTGCAAATTGCTTCATGCTGAAATCGGTCCCCCCTGCTGATCCAAGCTTGCACAAACCCTGCATAAGAGCACCGAGGAAACTGTTGGTTTTATGTACATTTAGAAATGTTCTTTTCTCCAGCTGTCTGCAGTACTTACCACCAGGGCTCTCACACGTATCCTGTCGTTCTCGCTCTTCTTGTAGAGGTCCTTCAGAAGTGTCACACCATTGGCTGTGATGAAGGAGGCTCTCTTGGCCTTGCCCGCAGCATGGATAAGAGCCTCCACAGCTACCTGCTGGTGAGTCACGTCTTCGGAGGCGCATAGAGAGATCACTGCATCCATCATCCCTGACATCTCCAGCATTATGTTACCCACGTCACTTGGTCCCTGGAGGAGCACCGACACTGTCTGGATGGATCGCAGTTTGCCATCTAGGCCAGGGCGGCTAAAGTGCTGCCTAACCAAAAAAACTGAATGTCACTTTTTGACTTATTGTCTGTAACAAGGATTTTCTTTTAACATAAAGAATTGCAGTAGCTCTAGTAACAGAAATGTAACAGTTTTTGGTGGTTAACTCACTGAATGTATTCTTCACATAGTTTGTTGAAGTTCTCCCTCTCTTTGTTGCTCTTTAGGTCATTATAGAGTTTGTTAAGCAAGACAGAACAGCTCATGTGTGAGTTGTCTGTAAGAGGTGGTCCTTCTGAGAGCTCAGCAACTGTCCCAGCCACCTCCAAGATTTTCTTCAGTCCTGCGGAATGACAAGGAGTTTGATAATCTGGCTGCAGCACGATAACATTGGTTGAATAGCAGATATGGACTTGGAAGAGCTCAAATCATATGAGAATTTCATCTGTAAAACACAGAGCTAACACTTTCTTCTCCTTCTCATGGTACTGCAACTATACTGAAAAGCAGAAATGGCCGTGTTCGGTAGAAGGTCTGTTTTATTTCCATCAAATCATAAAGATGACAGAATTGTGTAACTACAGGTTTCTCACCGTGGTCTATCACCAATAATGTCAGGGAGTTATCAAGGTTTTTCAAGGACTTCCGGGGTACTTGTTTGACCAGGAGGTTGATGGCGCTGTCTCTGCCCGGCCCTGACACATTAGATGCTGGCATCATATCCAAAAGGTGGCGTAACATAGAGCGTAGCTCCTTGGAGGGTTCTATGTGAAATTCATACAATCAGTCACTGTCAGTCACAGTGTGGGCAGCTAATACACACAAAAAAGCTGTTATACTATCAGTCAACATTCGTGTGTTTGTGGGCAGCTAATACACACAAAAAAGCAGTTATACTATTGGTCAACATTCGTGTGTAGTCCAAAGTCCAAATATAAACATGATCACAGTCCAAACTCACCAGGAAGTAAAGCTTCATCCTTCCCTTTGATCTCTCTTTTCATGCCCTCCGTCAAAGCCTCAAACATCACCTGCAGCAGGTGGCAGGCAGCCAGAGACACAGTGGAGGCTCCTGATCCCATTACTGCACACAGTTGCTCCATTCCTAAGTCATTCACTATGGCCATAGTCTGCGAAGAAAATAATGGATGTCAGCAGTAAAGAGCAGCAAAGCAACTGATAAGTGTTTCCAGCATGGTAGATACAGTAGAATGGATGGAAACAGATAGAGGGACAAAAGGCAATCTCTATGAATACACTTTCTGTTCTATCTACATGTCCCAAGAGAGAACATTTAATATTTATTAAAGACAAATTAATTTTAGAGGGCAATTAGACTTACTCTAGACTGATGGCCTGTGCACAAACCAACCAGGGTCCTGAGAGCAGAGAGGACAACCTCCTCCTGCTTTGACTGAAGAAGTTTCTGAATCAGCTTCACTCCATCGTTACGGAAGATCTGCTCAGCTCCTGCCTCTTCTCGAGATAACACCACTAGATTCTGAGCAGCCTGAAAGTGATTAATGGACCACATTATTTTGTTGTAAGCCAGCTTTACAGGCAGATCAAGATTAATAAAGAAAAATCTAACCCATTAACGATGAATTTCAGAAATTTGTTGGGACTCTGTCTTATGAGACATCATTACCTTCTGTTGATCCAAATCCTTTGCAGATGCATCTAAGAGGAGAGAGAACATCTGCTGCACACGAGCATCTGTGGAGTTTAGCTGTGCTGACTAAAGGTTTAACAGAAAAGACCCTAATGAAGAGAAGTTTTTTTCGGGTATGATTTCAAATACAAGGCCAAACCTCCAGGTCTCTTCATCTACTTCAAAACAAACAAACATCACCTTCTGATGGATCTGTGCTCCCAGCTGTCTGAGCAGATCCTGGAAAGCCTTGTTTTTAGGTTCCAGTTGGGCACACCTCTGAGCATCTAGAAAGGCCTGGTCAAGACGGCCAAGCTTTTGAAAAGCCTGAGCCCTCCGAAACCTGGCTTTCACATCACCCGGATCAGTATCGAGAGCTGAAAAGAATGGCAGTCATGACATTCAGACCAACCATGTATATACATAAATCCTCAACCAGATAAAGAGACAGATCATGCAACAATACCCAGAATGTTAAGTATATATTACAGACCTGTAGTATCAGTGAATAGCTTCTACCAAAGATATGATCATTTGTAGGTATATTTCTTAAGTTAAACTGTTTACACCTTTATTTGTATTATCATGGCTGTAAGCAGTACATTTGCAAACATCTGCTTTATGTTTAGCTTTTCTAATTTTCTGCAAATCAGGTGAAAGTGGGGTTTATTGTGTACTTAGGTACATTGTCCAGTTAACATAAGATTTTCTGATGCTACCAAGAAAAACAAAAGTGTGAATGTACTCAGTGAGCCTATGAACTCAGTATCCCCTGCAGTGATGTATCCCACCTTTGGAGGCATCAAACTCTGCCTTGTTGTACTCCTCCAATTTCAGGTAGCAGGCAGCGCGGTTGCGGTACAAAACAGCGCTCTCTGCTTGACTGCCATTCAGCTTTAGCGCTCTAGTGTAGCAGCAGACAGCGCCTTGCATGTCTCCTGCCTTGAAAAAGACGTTTCCCTCCTCCTTTAGGGCTGCAGGATCCTGGTTTAGAGAGAAGAAGAAGAAGTAGAAAACAAGAGCTCAGGGTGACAGAACTGCTTCGAATAAATGTATCTTGAGAAGATCTGAAACGCTTAGCAGCTAACTATTGTCACCTCACCTTTTCTTCTTCACTCACGTTCATCTTGAAGGTACTACATGCAATATAGCATTACTTAATATGGTGAATATATAGCTTAACTTTACTCCACATGGATACAAGTACCGCTAACTTCAGCCAAACACGTTCGACACTTCCGGGTATCCATAGAACGTTGATGACGTTTACGTAACGGCCCCGCCTTCTCTCTCCCCACTTTTCATTCCTATAAAAGGAAGAGAGCAGCGACGATATCTCTGCCTCCATCCCTCCTTTATTTGGTTATATTTTAATTATGAGTTCAAGTTCCCCCAGTGTCACTTCAGTCGCCTATAAAAAAAGCCTTCATTCATGTCATTGTCAATGACTGTGCTTTACATGACAACTCAAAATACTGTATCTCCTGTGAAAAAGACCTATTTACTGTTGCAAACCGACCATTATGGTCTTAATGCTGCTTTAAAGAACGCCAGGAATATAAATTAAATACTAATTCTTCATTTATTGTAATGTAACTGATTTACCTACACTAACATTTAAAAATATTAACTGTAAAGAATATCGCAGTCAGCCTATCAAAGCCCACCATGTCTCATTTATTTCTAAATGTAGAATGCAGACTCAACTCAATTCATAACACTCTAACACCAAATCAAACATGCTACAAAATTTTCAGTACAAACATACAATACTAACATTAACAGTCCATGTCAGAATATTCTAAGTTATCAATTGAACAAAATCAAAAATTATAGGGGAGATGGATTCATTTTCATGAATGGTGACAAATAAAAATGCATTCAGTTTTTTTCAATTTTTGTAGCAAAAGTAATCTGTGGTCCCCACAGATCAAAACCACTAAAGGATGTGCTCTGGTATGGTATTACCAGCCTCAGTCCCCTGGGGATTCCAGTTTACCAGGACAGCCACCAGTGGTATGGAGACAGTGTTGTTCCCTTTGGGCCTTGTGCACAAGTACACTGCGGCATGGCAGCTTTATGACTACAGCAAAATACCCAGCTTGGACACTTGAATCTCTTAAGGACAGGGCTTGCTTTGAGACCTCATACATACCAGATCCACGGGAGGGCCACAAGGCCACAGCACCAGCCAAGTCTGAAATCACAATCAAAAACAGCTGTGTAAATATTTGTTCCTTAATATGACTGTTTTGTGAGAGATTATGCTTTCATAACAGCATTTTGGTGTACTTACTGGTACCAAACCTGTTTTTAAATCTGAATATAATACTTGGAAACACCACAGTTATACACAGCCTTTGAATGGCTAGATCCTATTAAAAGTTAGTGGTCTCTTGTGACTGGAGCAAAACAGTGCCATCTGTTCTTGTTAAGTCCCTTACAGTCTGGTAATTAATTATTGAGGTGTGGCTACGCTCCTGTTTCCATAAATGTATAATGAGTTCCTGAATGATCGACTAAGAACACAACAATGGTTCTCACGTGTAAAGCACTATTGCATTTTTCACTCTGGGCTTCTCAGGTGTCATTTGCCTGCACAGTGGATGTAACCTCTCTGAAGCAGTCAGGCTGCTATTTATGCTTTGATCATATAGTGACAGAACAGGCAACACAGCTTGAGCCTCTGTCTATATGGAAGTGGCTCAAACATGGATGTAACCACACCATGGGTCACAGTTATTATAAAGGTTGCATGCTGACATCAACCTCAAGAAGCACTCTCTACAACCTGTTATTAAAGCCCTGTATAAGCTCTCCGAATGGAAAGTGGTGCCTGAGACAGACCGGTTATAAGGATAATCAGCTTTATTGGCCAAGTATGTTACACGCAAGGAATTTGTTTCTGGCACAGAACCAATGGCAGCCATCTGCGGCACCACCTCAACCTATGGCTCTAACTGGAGGCACCGAGATTTGAACCTTTACTCTTCCGGGTGGGAGATGACTGTTCTACCCACCGCACCACTGTCACCTCCCTGTTATAACTAACCTCCAGTAAGGTTCAATAAAATTGTTATCCTAATGCTCTTTGACTGCTGGACATCTTTATTAGCAGCCATGGTGGTACAATTTTTTATTCACATTTTCTGTGAATTCCAGAATATCATTTCACACAAACGCTGCTACTGTCACTGCACAGTGATTGCACAGGAGGTGAGAAGTGATTGGTTATTCTCTGGATTCTTTAGTTTTCTACACACATAAAACCTTAATAATAAAGTTTAGATTTTTAGAAAGGCTTATATAATGTGTAGCTACACTTGCAGATTACTTCATTTCAGATCAAGTTATTCTACAGTGCCTTGCGAAAGTATTCGGCCCCCTTGAACTTTGCGACCTTTTGCCACATTTCAGGCTTCAAACATAAAGATATAAAACTGTAATTTTTTGTGAAGAATCAACAACAAGTGGGACACAATCATGAAGTGGAACGAAATTTATTGGATATGTCAAACTTTTTTAACAAATAAAAAACTGAAAAATTGGCCGTGCAAAATTATTCAGCCCCCTTAAGTTAATACTTTGTAGCGCCACCTTTTGCTCCGATTACAGCTGTAAGTCGCTTGGGGTATGTCTCTATCAGTTTTGCACATCGAGAGACGGAAATTTTTGCCCATTCCTCCTTGCAAAACAGCTCAAGCTCAGTGAGGTTGGATGGAGAGCATTTGTGAACAGCAGTTTTCAGTTCTTTCCACAGATTCTCGATTGGATTCAGGTCTGGACTTTGACTTGGCCATTCTAACACCTGGATATGTTTATTTGTGAACCATTCCATTGTAGATTTTGCTTTATGTTTTGGATCATTGTCTTGTTGGAAGACAAATCTCCGTCCCAGTCTCAGGTCTTTTGCAGACTCCATCAGGTTTCCTTCCAGAATGGTCCTGTATTTGGCTCCATCCATCTTCCCATCAATTTTAACCATCTTCCCTGCCCCTGCTGAAGAAAAGCAGGCCCAAACCACGATGCTGCCACCACCATGTTTGACAGTGGGGATGGTGTGTTCAAGGTGATGAGCTGTGTTGCTTTTACGCCAAACATAACGTTTTGCATTGTTGCCAAAAAGTTCGATTTTGGTTTCATCTGACCAGAGCACCTTCTTCCACATGTTTGGTGCGTCTCCCAGGTGGCTTGTGGCAAACTTTAAACGACACTTTTTATGGATATCTTTAAGAAATGGCTTTCTTCTTGCCACTCTTCCATAAAGGCCAGATTTGTGCAGTATACGACTGATTGTTGTCCTATGGACAGAGTCTCCCACCTCAGCTGTAGATCTCTGCAGTTCATCCAGAGTGATCATGGGCCTCTTGGCTGCATCTCTGATCAGTCTTCTCCTTGTATGAGCTGAAAGTTTAGAGGGACGGCCAGGTCTTGGTAGATTTGCAGTGGTCTGATACTCCTTCCATTTCAATATTATCGCTTGCACAGTGCTCCTTGGGATGTTTAAAGCTTGGGAAATCTTTTTGTATCCAAATCCGGCTTTAAACTTCTCCACAACAGTATCTCGGACCTGCCTGGTGTGTTCCTTGTTCTTCATGATGCTCTCTGCGCTTTAAACAGACCTCTGAGACTATCACAGTGCAGGTGCATTTATACGGAGACTTGATTACACACAGGTGGATTCTATTTATCATCATTAGTCATTTAGGTCAACATTGGATCATTCAGAGATCCTCACTGAACTTCTGGAGAGAGTTTGCTGCACTGAAAGTAAAGGGGCTGAATACTTTCGCAAGGCACTGTATGTGGCAAGTATATTTTTGTCATGTCCCAAGTTATTTACATTTTGGACTCTGACATTTTGGATTTTGTTTAGCGTATCAAAGCAGATGATCAAACAGGTTGTGTGATCTACTATCACGGGTACATCCCACATAATAATGGACTATCTGTTTCTTCTAGCAGCTCACAGACTGATCATTTTGCTCTAGAAACAATAATCACCCACATGTAATATTTGCAGTGCACCTCTCCAGACCACAGGTATCGTTAGACTGCTTTTACTGGGGCACATGCCCCAGTATTGCTCTACTGTGCCCCACTAAAATCACACATTTGAGCTTTAACAAGCTCCTACATTTGGCAGTGGATTAATTTAGATTGATAATAATGGGGAAAGAAGTCACTTGTTGTTCTAATGTCAAAGCAAAATGCAAGCTGAAGCACAAGTGGGTCAAGGTTCATATGCCACAGTGCACACATACAGTGGGTATAGAGAAGAATCGCCCCCCTTTAAAATAATCACATTTTGTTGCCTTGCATCCTGAAATGGAGACAGTTTTTGTTTTATCCAGCTGTATTTACTCAGTGCAACTTATAGCATCCAAGTGAAAGCTATAACACCAACATGTCAGAAAAAAAGTAAAAAAATTCAAAAACAGAATCAATGAGTTGGGAAAAGTATGGTAATATGCTAATAGTATAAAACGACCTCTGATTTGATAGAAGTCACTGATTCTGGGAGTCTTCTTAGATCTTTAGGAAAGGAGTCAAGAGATGACAGGCCTTGACTGCAAAAGTCTGGCTCAAGCTCTACCAATAGAAAAGGATACTTTAAAAGCAGAAATTGATTAAAAATATAGATGGGTAATACCTTTCATTAAATTGGCAATAAGAGTTAAAATGGCCTGATACAAATGGGTCATGACAACTGACCCATCAGACCTAAGGATGCTGACTGCTGGGGGAAGCACAGTCAACTACACTTAAATCCAGCATCACCTTGGATGAGATGCCGGCAGCAGCTGAGCTAACCTGAAATGGGGTTGATTATGTACCAAACTGGCACTATACACAGAACGAGGTCAACTGAGTTTACTTGCATCATAAGACAGCAAGGCTTTTTCCCTTCCCTTTCTTCTCAATGTGTGAAGGAGTCTGAGCTTTAAAGTTGGTGATTTGGACAGTTGTTGAGTCTCTTAAATCTCTACATTTGCTGGAAATGTGACTGAGGTACTGGAGGGTGAAGTGCAGATACCTAGAGAAATAAGGAAGAGTCGAGGCAAATACAGGCTAGATCATGGACCCCTACTGAGCTGGAGCTGTGTGCCATGGTTGTGCAGTTTCCAAAAACAGACAAGGATCCCTCTGGTTTTGTGAATCGGCTGACATGGTATGCTGTTATGATCCTACTAAGACACATATTGGACAATTGATGTTGATGGGTTTAAGGGGTAGATTTGTTGAGGTAGAGCAAGCTGTGACTATTGCAGTTCAAGATGAGGATGCACAGAGTAGACCTAAGTGGTTAAAGGTGCATAAAACTCAGTTAATGCATTGCGTCTTTTAGCTGGGAATAGTGGAGAAGGACAAAAAAGCACATCTCTCACTTCCACTCATCTGTATAAACTTAAGATGCAGAGAGAGAGAGAGAGAGAGAGAGAGAGAGAGAGAGAGAGAGAGAGACACACACACACACACGTTTGGAAAGGAAAGGCTGGTCCATCCGTTTTAAAGTCTGCTGAAGACGTTGGCCAATAATGAGCTGGTACGTAGCCGTTTTTTTCCCATAAGCCTTTGCAGGAGCTCAGTGGTGCTAGCTGCTATGGGAGCTGCTAGTTCAGTCGTCCGGGAACTGAAAGCGTCGGGCACACGCACACTCCTGGGCTCTGCTCTCTTCCGGATTACTCTCCTTTGATGGGTAACGTCAAATTTTTCCATTTTGTTCACAAAGAGACAGGATCCAAAGGTCGTGCATACATGTTAGACGGTTTAGATGGGAAAGGAGTGGATAGCCAGGAATATTACTCACGTATTGTCTTATTATCTAGCCAATACTTGCTATCTTCTGTAACGACAGACATAAGTCAGCTGTGCAGCACAGCCTTTTCACGGGTGCTTAAAGACTGCTGTGTCTGTTGTTCACCTTGATTCATCCGTGTCCTCACATTAACATCGTTTGACTCTTGAATTTAGCTCGTAGACATGTCGAGCTGATGTGGTAACTTGACGGCACATCTGGTAGCTAGCGCTAGCTCGTCCGGTTGCACATTTGTGACATCTAGTTAATATTAAAGCAGCCGAGGTCATTAAAGCTTGACATGGTCCGTTCATGTGGCTCAGGGGATAACATGCTAGAAGCTGCTGTGTCACGTTATGTGAGCGTAAAGCAGGATATTATCGAAACGCAGGTAACGTATTTTAGTGCTCTTAAGTTTGAGGCGACGCAGGGTTACTTGGCTAGCTGCCCAGCAATAACAGACCAAAGGTCATCCAAGTTAAACCCTCACTCAGTAACCCGGATGTACAGTTCAAGGTAATGTGATGCGTCGCATAAGGGATTATGAACATTCAGGAACGTGTCCCATGATGCTAGCATGCCAACATGTGAGCACCTTGGGATCTGCGCTCAGTTGAGATCGAATCATGAATGTGAGGCTTTAGTTAGCGATGCCAGGCACCCAAACTAACTGAACCTTTCATGTTGGATAT